GCCGCCCGCCGCCTCGCCCGCCGCCTCCGCGCCCCCCGCCTCCGCGCGCCCCTCCACAAGCTCCGGGGGCACGTTCGTCACCGCGCGCACCTCCGCCTCCGCCGCCTCCGCCGCCGCCGCCACCAGCGCCCTTGGGGCCCCTGGCGAGGCCCGCCCGCGGCAGGTGTCCGGCCGCGAGTAAAGTTATCCACACATAATTAGCACTATATAGAATAATCAATACATTTCCTACTATAATACTCTTTCTGGGCTCACAATGTTTCGCTTTTCTCTTAGTCTTGTTCGACTCGACTCATACGGATCACGGATGACGCGGCTTGTTTTCAAGGCTCTCAATCCTCTGGCCAGATCCATGTACCCGTCACTGAGCGGCCAGCCGCACGTTCGTCCTGGTACTAACGACTCCTCCTGCAGTTCTTTTGAAGTACATAGCTCTTTTAATCCCTTCCTTTTTTGGAACGCTGGGACGTAATCTTCCAAAACGAGGCGCACCTCCTCTCTCAGCCTGAAGTTTTCAAGGAGCAAAGAATGCGATGCTATTGCGTCACCCAGGTCCGTCGTATGGGGCGATGTTTTCCAATGATCGAGCAGCGTGCTTTCTGGCCTACAGCAATCTTGACCACGCTTGAATCTGCCCAAGACTTCTAAAACGAAATCCAGGTTCATACGATATATTCGAACGGGATCTAACACCATCTTTTCCACAAGATATTTGTCCCTCGGATGGATCAAAAGCCAGCGGTTCCGGGCCATCTCCCTCTCGAGGTTTTGAACAAGAGCACATGTCTCTGCCACTAGTGTTCTACCTTCCTTGTCCCAAATTGAGGACGAATCAAATGCCATGATTGGAGCCCAGGCTGGATCAGTCTTCACCATGACCGTTTTGAGGCTTCCGACGTCTGTGCTGAAGGTGTCTGTGCTGAAGGTGGCTGCCACGATATCGACAAGAACCCAGTGAAACTTGGCGCCACGGATTGGGCCTACTTGTTTTGCGTATTTGGTTAGAACAGGGTAAGGATTGTTTCTGTCGGACAAAGCATCTTCGTTACGATCCTGTGAAGACCGTTCGGTATATTGAGGTGGTGGGGTGTTGGGAATCGGTTCTTCCTTGTTCTCTTGTACAGCCTCCTGAGATATATCCGAACTTGTTTTCTTTTGCTTTGATTCTTGCCATAATTGCTTCAACTTTTGAGGAAGAGTCATTGTTGGTCATTTCTTTTTTACCAGCTCTGGACTTGGTAACGGGCTATCAAGAATAGGCTGGAAGTCTGTCTTCGCGAGTAGAGGAGACTGACTCGGGTCGACACTGGTTCTTAAATAGGCGCTCCTTTTATTCTAGGTTTGGTACCGTGGAGATGTTGGGCTGGAATATGGGTCACCTTGATCAACTCGCCCCCGGGTCAGGCGTCTATTGGGCTAGGTAACCCGGGGAGCCGGCTCGTAATGGAGCGGCGCGATGTTGAAGTTTGGGTGATAATTGCGACGGCGCGTCGAATAGTGACTAGATGCTCGCGATCAAGTTGTTGGGCAGGCAGCAGCGCACGCACGAATGTTTCTTTGGGCCATGGAGTTTAGCAGTCTCTTCCTTCTCACTCACGGATCAAACCACAAGATGTGGTTCCAATAGTAGCTGGGGAGGCAGCTGTCTGGAAGCCACTTGCGTACGTCGTGCGTATAAGGAGGGTGATTATATAGAGATGTTATCCAAGAGTCGATTATTGGTGTGCTACTGTTGAGGGGTAAGTGAACCGTGGTTCTGGAAAATCGCTGCGCAGACCGAAGCTCAGCCGTGGCCGGATCAAATCAGCAACTGATAATGAATCGAACCAACGATGAGGAAACGTATGGCGTGATACCAATGGCACCGTTGCATACTTGTTAAATGCCAACCCCTGGAATACAGCTTATAGATACCCCCTAGCCTGTGCCTAGCCCCGTTGGTTCGATCAGACACTAAGCTTTTTGTTCAGGTGTGCGACCTTGCAAAAGTTGCGCATCTGAATTTCTTGATGCGCCTGCCGTTTTTCCCATAGCCGTCGCCGTACTATTGCTGAACTGGAAGAAGCATCCCTCCAAGGCTTCATGTGGAACGAGACTTCTGGCCTGCATTTCCTCTTTAACATGTGCCCTGAAGCCCTCGTCACATATACGCCCAGAATGTGTGCGTCCAATAAGACCAGAGCGGCTTTGGTGCCGAATGCAGCCTCAACTATGACAATATCGGTAGCGTGCATTTCCGCTCTCAGCAACTTGCAAGTCTTTGGAATAGCCTCTTTACTCCCTGATAGTTCAACATGCTGCCTAGCACTCCTGTTCCTTTCGTGTTGCTTAGGCTCCTAGATCACATCCACTGAACCTTCACTTCTCTTGAGAGCTCTTCCCGTTCTTCCCACCAATCCGCCTATCTCGTCGCAATCATGGCGGTGTGCAGCCTTTTTGCCGAAGTCTCGAAAAGTTCAATAAGTGACTTAGTGCTGTATTTTGACTAACCTCCGATGCTTGAGCCCCCCTAGAAATTGAATAAGGCTCTCGTTTTCTGTTTCGTGGTTTCGTTTGACGACTGCTTCCGCATCATAGAAATGGCTTCCGTCGTCAGGTCTACAGTCACAGTAGAACAATCGCTTACCAATGCCATCGTAGCTTAGAGTTGAGTTGTCAACAATTGCCCGGCGCTGTGGACAACACGGTGTGGTAGTACAATGAGCGGGGTGGTCAAGACGGCGTACGATATTGTAGACGAAGTAATATCTCGGAGCAATGTGTGGTAATGTAGTAAGCCGACGTATCCAGTCGCTGCGTTGTGAGCTCAACGAGCTCGAAGGTGTTGCGATGCACGCGGGGCGCTGTGCATAACACCTGGCGCCGTCAACAGGTGGTGCAATAATTATTAATCGCTGTAATAATAACTCATACCTTACTAATATAATTCTAGTAATTCTACTAGAGGAGAACAGGTCTCGCAGGGAAGAATTAGGGTGGCAAAGTATTAGTCATCATTACAGCGCTCAATAATTATTGCACCACCTGTTGTCGCAGCCAGTAACGCTGTTGGCCGTTTCGTTACGTAAGTATCCATCATTCACGCAGCAAGGGACAATACCACACGATCCCTGTAGTGTATGCTATGTACCAGCGATGCTGTGTAAAGACTCTGGAACTTATATTACCAAATATAAAAAAAGACCTCAGCTTCGTAGGAAGTCGAAAAAATGGACTTGCTGGGAATCGAACCCAGGACCTTTCCCACGCTTCCGCGATCGTGCAGACGATGCCAATGCTAAGGGAAAATTATACCACTAAACCACAAGCCCAAGTTGTGATTTGATGGAAGTTTGGACAATCGAAAACAATATATACAGGGTATATGCTATACCGGCGTGAGAATGCTTAGATAGGCTTGATCTCCAAGGGGCAAGTCATTTTTGTGGGTCATGGATCCGCTCGGAAGGTTTTGCTCAACGCGTGACCCACTGCCGAACGACAGGCTCTCACATATGCATACATACATAAAGATACCAAAAGCCTAGCCTCTTCATTAATAAGAAAACTGACTCTCGCTACAGTGTAGTCGGGTGTCATATTTTTGTGTATCACTTTACGGGACCACTTCGTGGTTCATGTCAGCAATCAGAGGATCATAATCGGGTAGTGGCACACGGGATCTGCGACGTAGTGCCCGCCCACCACCCGTAGCGTGAACATCAATGCAAATGGCTGTTCACGAAACAGCAGTTTATTGTTTCGTCGTCCATCTCCGTGCAACTTCTTTCTAGGGGAGCTTTGCACTTGTTAAGGCGCAACCTCTATTACTCCTAATCAAATCCCCGGTGGGCGTTGAATGGAGTGGCGTCAAAAGCGACGATGCGCTTTGCAAGTGCCGATGCCGCGGCCGATGAGGATTAGAAATGCAGGTCCCATTGCGGGTGTTTCGTCCGCTGCCCGTTGGTGCGCAAATGCTCCTTGGGCCGACCATCTAGACCGTATTACCGTGTGACGGCAAGCCCAGCACTGGCTTCACGGTGTGGGGAGGGGACGCAATACTTCGCTGTTTGTATCACCAGAGGTTCGCCTACTTCTTGCAAATTGTCGCCACTGGAGTCAGGTCGCTGATGAACTGGCGTCCGCGGAGGTGGCCGGGGATATTGTGACGCCGCGCATTTGTCTGCATCTTCCACCTGAGCCGCGGCTCTGGGATACGGTCCAATGAAGCCGGGACCTGCGCCTCGAGTCACGCCAAAACTTGGAACAGCTAAACAACTTGTACTCCATCAGACACCCGAAAGCAGTGCGAGATGCAATCGCCCCACAAGTATTGCATCCAGTAACATGATGGCGAACATTGGCGCATGCTTGAAACTAAAGGCTGGCCCTGTGGCGGAGGAAGAGCTGCGAAAGGGTACAGGCCCGCACCCATGTGGTGTGCCTGGGTTCCGTCGCTGATATTATAGAACCCGGTCATACAACCCCAAAAGAGGCTGGCCCTCGGATCTCTTAACGTACCCTTCGTTCTTGCTTTTGAGAAGCCGTCCCCCCTTCCCAGCGCCTGAGGGCAGGAACACTGGCAATCAACATTATGGCTTCTCCAATTCCTAACCGTGGCCCCGAGCTGTACGCCGTCAACATTGCGTTTCTCGTCGCGGCCGTCATCGCTTACGGTCTGCGATGCTATGTACGCATCCGAATGATAAAGTCGTTCGGCCGGGACGACTATCTGATGGCTGCGGCAACAGTAAGTTTTGCGTCCCGAGCAGAACATCGACTTTATTGACCCCAAAGGTTGCATTCATTGCCTACTGTAGTGCTTCGGTGCTTGGCATCCATTATGGCACTGGGCGACATCGGTGGCACCTTACTACCGAGAACTACGCAAAGGGGCGGCATTGCTGGTGGTTCTGCTATCTTTTCTATTGCTGCTCAATGATCACCTCAAAGCTGTCTATTGGGTTCTTGTAAGCTGCTGCCGCAAGCTGACAAGTCGTTGGTTAACTGAACCAGCCTTCTCCGTATCGCCGTCCGGAAGATCCATGTTTGGATTATTTACTTTGCCATGATGATATCCATCGTGGCAGGCCTGGCCTTCTTCTTTGTCACACTTTTCCAATGTTACCCTATATCCTTCTTTTGGAACGACTACTCGCAAAGCGGAACATGCGTCAACATTGAAATTATCATTGCCCTCGGCTACCTGTACAGCTGCTTCAGCATTATTTCCGACTTCACGTTTGCGATCCTACCAGCATTCTTGGTCATGGGGCTACAGCTTAAACGCAGGACCAAGCTTGCGTTGATTCCCCTTCTGGCTATGGGCTGCATGTGAGTTATCCCAATTTCATGTCCTTGGCTAGCCTCCGTTGCTAATCCACTCTCAGTGCAAGCGCTGCTGTGGTCGCCCGCGTTCCGTACATGAAGCAATTCCGATCGAAGGATTTCTTGTGGGAAACCACCGATATCGCAATCTGGTCGACCGTCGAGCAAGGCCTAGCTATCACGGCGGGCAGCCTCGCCGCAGTCCGCCCTCTCTTCCAGGCCGTGTTGACCAAACTCGGTCTCGTCTCCCAGCGCTCTACTATGCCTCTTACTCCGTACGGCTATGGCAACCGATCGGGCTCGCATGGCTTCCGGGAGCGACGCCCCTCCGCGGCCAAAAAACTCGACCAGTACACACTCTCCGCGGAAGCCGAGTCGGGGGCAGTCCGAGACAACAGCACCGACCTCGTCATCAACGACGCCGGAAAAGGACCCCCGAAGCCACCAAACTGGTACGAAACGCAGTTGGAGAAGATCAAGCGAAGTTCCAAATTAATGCCGGAGACCAAAGCGAACAGCGACAACGAGAGCGAGAAGAGTCTACGGATGAAAGAGACCACCAACAGCGAGCACGACTCCTCCCCTCCACAAACCTACTCGGACGAACGGTCGATGCAGATCATGGTGGAAAGGAGTTTCTTTGTTACGGATGCCGAGAGGAGAAGTTACGTAGACCAGCAGGATTACAAGCGATGACCCTGGGCGCACGGAACCCAGGCATTACATTCATTACTTTATACCCACCTACCTTGCCGGTATTGGGTCAACCTCTCGCACTTGCTCTCGCCATTTGCCAACCCCGCGGTTGGCACGGAGCGAAAAAGCACTTCGAGGGATGAGGTAGAGAGCTGCGGCATTGCGTCCGATGCACGTGGGGTCTTCGTTTCAAAGAGCCCCTACGGCAGGCCGAGAGCGCGGCGGCAGTGAAGGGGGAGAGTAAACTCGAGATATACCACGAGCACACGGCCGTCACCATTTTCTTTGTATACTTTTGTTAGCTGTATAGCTTTATAATAGAAGCTCTCCGCTTCGAGAAGGGCAAGAACCCTACATAGTATTCACATTCCACTACTGTCTACGAGTCATCGATTTGTGAGCAGCTACACTCGCGGTTTGCATCAGCGAGTGACACATTTCATACCAGTGTTTGAGGCTGGACGACTACCGTAGTATCATCTAAACACCAGCCAAACTATTGAGAAGCGATACAGCCGAGGAACAGTGACAAGTGCGAAAGTAGGTCAAGGAGAAGTGATGCTCCACGATGGTAGCGGCACCCCTAGTTCGCGCTACATCACTGCTCTCACGTATAGCATCAATCTTCTAGCGCACACACTTTCCATGCTTACGACATTTCCACGAACGGGTGCCCAAACGCGCGCGCAAAGAAGCTAAGATAGGACAGGCATTCGTCGTAGTCAGATCACCCACCAATCTCCCTGTCAAGATCGTCAAAACTTGCGTCCAATCCGCCAGCGTGTTGCCTTTCCCGGACAACACCTACTCAACCTTTCCCTACATCGCCGCATCTCCTCTCGACCCACACTCCCTCACGTAATCGCGATAGACCTGAGCTCCTCCATCCCAGCCACGAGGTCATCCCACCCCACACCATGCACATAGCAATCCCCCACCAACTCAAACACCCTCCTATCACCGCACACTCCCTCATCCCCATCCACACCCCTCAGCACAAACGGCGTATCCCCATGCACCAAGTACGCCACCTCATCGCCCTCTCTCGCCAACGGCGGAACAAGCACCACCAGCCCCCGCCGCGTAAACGCCATCTTCCTCCCCGCAGAGTGCCGCCCCATTGCCGCCATATAGCTCGTATTAGCCTCGAGCATATCCGTGCCGCGGAGTTCCTCGTAACGCTCCCCGTAGACGCGGAGGGACTCGGTGTGTTCGCCGGACGTTAAATACTCCGCCAATTTATTTTGGACGTCCGGCAGCGTCTGTGGCAGCGTCGACGGCGCGATCAGGTGATCAGGCGCGTCGGGCACGAGGTCGTGGAGGGAGGCGGCTTGTTTTTCGAGGAGCGACCAGCAGCGCGCGTTGTACGCGACGGTTTCTGGGTCCGTGGACGTCTCGCCGAGGAGCACGCGCCAGAGGACTTCATCCCTGGGTGTGCCGGTGGGATACGGCGTGGGGACGAACTGCGCGAATGCTTCGTGCATGGCTTTGAAGTCTTTGCCGACATCGAGCACCCGCTTGAGCGCGTCGGGTGGGAGTTCCAGCGCCACGGTTCCAGGTGCGTTTTGGATCATAGGATGGTCGATGGTGTGCACGATGGTGTCGTAGGAGACTGCATCGACGAAGAGGAGTTTCCCTGTGGGGTCAATATCGAAGGGGTTAGGCGTAAACTGGGGTAGGTCCAGGGTCGGAAACTGCGCTCTATGCGCTGATTTGCTCCAATTTGGCATCCACGAGGGTAACTCTTGATCTTCGAGGCTGCAGAAGCGCGACTGGATCGAACGGTCGCCGAATCCCCGTCCGGCTAACCTAAGAAACCATAGGGGGCGGTCGGACTCCAACATCTGGATGATGGTCACATTCAGAAAGAGATTCAAGACGCTCTGCTCGTAGTTTGGCTCTATCCCTGGGGCAATCTTGTCGCGAGCTAGTCCCTGGAAAGCAAAGATGTTGTCCCGCGGATCGGTGGCGCTGAACTGCCAGCCGAGGAAGAGGAGATCTTGCAGAGCGAGGCCACCTGCCCTGTATGCATCTCGGATATTGCTGATTTGCATGATCTTCATGATGTAGAGGAGCGGGATCGAGCCTCCACCGAATATGGTGCCCAGGACATCGAGTGCGCTGTTGTTATCTGGGTTATAGCAGGCTTTTGCGAAGCTGGATATCTCGTCCCATGGGAGTTCGTTGTCTCCATAGACGACGACAAGCTTTTCTGCCATGGCAATCTCTTGAACGACCCATGCGCGAGCCCAGTATTCCAGCCTGAATAGGCGTGAGAGTGCTTCCCATCCTAGGGATGCTCGATAGG